ATTCAAGTTAAAACGATGCCATACTGGTTTAAGGGGAGTCCCACTGGTGTTGTAACACATACAGGACACACCAGAATTATATGATGAAACAGAGATCCTGGGTTTACAAAGCAAAGGAACAAGAAATACTATTAAAAGCCAGAAATAAAGGATTCTTCCTTAGTCTTCAGAACCAGGCCCCACTGCTACCTTGATTTCATAGTTGCAGCCTTGGTCCACAGGAAGTTAAGTTTCTGGTGTTTCCCCTAGTCCCCCTTCTTTTTTTGGTGCTGGAAATTGAATCTAAGACCTTCCACATGAAAGAGATGTACTCCAATACAGAGGTTCATATTCTAGCCCCCAGGTTTTCTTTGTAAGACAAGTTATTGATACACAGCCCAGGCTGTTCTCAAACTCTCAATTCTTCTGCCTCAGTTCCTGAACTGGGATAACAGGTATATACCACACCTGGAATTTCCATTTTTAAGCCAGCTATACTAGACTAGCCAGGCATAATGGCCCACATCTATAATCCCAGCATTTACAATCCCAAGGTTGATCTCAAATTCCCAATCCTCCTACCTTTATCCCCTAAATGTGGAGGTTACAAGTACACTGTCATACTTGATAGCCATTGGATTTCAGAGTTATACAGCCTCTATAGCCTAGGGTGACCCTGAACTCATGATTCTACTTCTACCAATACTGGGATTAGGAGCATACAACACCATGCCAAGGTTTATGTGTCTGAACAGGCTCTGGGTATTTATAAAAATTTCAGAAAAGGGGGTGAGAAAAAAAAGAAAGACAACAGCAAAAACAAAAGCACACACCTCTCGAAGAATGGCATTGCCATCGTTGGTCATCACGATGCCTCCCATTGGGTCCAAAAGCATCTAAGAAAAAGCAAAAGTGGGGAACTAGAAAAACACAAGATCTTCTGAGTAAATTGGGAGCATGGGGTTCTTGGGAGAGGGTAGGAAGCGAGGGGAGAGGCAGGGAGGGGAGCAGAGAAAATGTAGAGCTCAACACAAATCAATTAAAAGAAAGGAAGAAACTGCAAAAGTCTCAGACATAACAAAAAAGGAGGACCTGGAGTTTGAATTCCAATAAAAGAAAGTCCAACCTTCATCATAGATTTAGGTCCCAAACATGTCCGAATGATGTCTGCAATTGTCTGTTGGTAAGGAAACACAAAACAAAAAGTACAAATCAGAAAACATTGTGATTTGGAGACTAACAGACAAAACCAGTATTTTGTTTTAAACAGGGTCTCACTAGTATGTCTGGCTGGTCTGAATTTAGAGATGCCTTCGCTTCTCAAGTGATGGGATTATAGGCGTGCTCCATCATGCCCAGTTCTGACTAGTGTTTTGCCTGCATACACGTTTGTGTACCAGATGCAAGCCTGGTGGCCATAGAGGCCTGAAGAGCATGCTGGATCCCATGAAACTAGAACTGGAGTCACAGGAGATTGTGAAACGAAATTTGTCTTCTATAAGAGCAAATGCTCTGAACTGCTGAGCCAACTCTCCAGCCAGAGTCAGTTTTAACAATGACACTTGACAGTAAGGATGGCAACTATTTTACACACAGCAATAAATGACCTCTCTTTTACACACAGCGTGTGCAAGGCCTACTACAGTTTCAATGTCCTTAGAGTTCAGCCTTAATATTTGCACTGACAGCCTCCAGGCCACCTAAAATCAAGTCTTGTACTCACTCAAGAGATATTTACCCAAGGCCAGCTGGACTACGACTGAAAAACCATGGGATAAAACCGGACTCTCTGAATATGGCGGACAATGAGGGCTGCTGAGAAGCCAAGGACAATGCCACTGGGTTTTGATCCTACTTCATGTTCTGGCTTTGTGGGAGCCTAGCCAGTTTGGATGTCCACCTTCCTAGACCAAGATGGAGCGGGGAGGACTTTGGACTTTCCACAGGGCAGGGAACCCTGACTGCCCCTCAGACTGGAGAGGGAGGGGGAGGGGAGTGGGGGGAGGGGGAGAGGAGAGGGAGGGGGGGGGAAAAGGGAGACGGGGAGGGAAATGGGAGGCGGGGAGGAGGCGGAAATCTTTTTTTTTTCAATAAAAAAATTATATTAAAAAAAAAGATTAAAAAAAAGAGAGAGAGATATTTACTTGGGAGATAGAGGAGATCAGATCTCTGTGAGTTCAAGGAAGGCCAGCCCGACAAAGGGGGCAGGGGCAGGTCTGGAGAGGACTGGTTGCTCTTCTGGAGGATCCAGATCCGAGTTCCAGCACCCACATGGCTCACTCTCACAACAATCTGTAACTCCAGTTTCAGGGGATCCGACCACCTCTTCTAGCCTTCTTGTAGACCAGGAATGCACATGATACACATACATACATGCACGCAGCTTACAAAACCTCCCTCCCCATACCACCACCAAAGAAATGCCTTGGAAAAGCAATTTTGCCTTTGCTTAATTGTATCCTCTGAAGGCAGATCCACAGAAAGCTTATATCACAAATCCAGAACAAATTCATACAAACACTGAAAATGTGTGCTACCTTGGCAGCATTGATATTTCCAGACTGAACTTTTCTTCCAGATTCACGCTTTGTATTCTGACCTAGAACAGATATAAACACACGTCAACGGCCCAGTATACACAAGCAATTCATATCCCACCTTAACAGAAAATGTTTACATTTTTAAATCTGTGTATGTATGTATGTATGTGTATGTCAGGTGCACAAACACTCGTCAGTGTGGAGGTCACATGACAGGGTTTAGGAGTTGACTATCACATGTGTTAATCTTTGTTATCAAAGCCAGGTGTAGTGAAGCATGCCTTTAATTTCAGTGCTAAGAAGACAGAATCAGGAGGAACTCTGTGAGTTGGAGGTCAGTCTGGTCTCCCTAGAGAGAATTTGTCTCAAATGAAACAAAACAAAACACATCTCTGGCTATTAGGCTTGGTGGCAGGTGCCTTTTTTACCTAATGAGTTATCCCACCAAACCTATTTAACAGCTTTTTAAAATAAAAATAAATACAAAGATTTTCGAGTTTGATGACCAGAAAACTGTTTAGGGCTAGGCACCCGGAGAGACAGAATCCAAGGCCAGCCTGATCTACTGAGATGGCTCAGTAGATAAAAGCAGGAGAGGCTCTTGCAGAGGACCCTGGGTCAATTTCCAGCACTAACTAACATGGCAACTCACAACCAGTGCCAGGGGATATGATGCCCTCTTATAGTGTCTGCAGGCAAAATACACATAAAATGAATAAAATTAAAAACAAACCCAGAAACTGCTTGTATGTACCCTTAGCTCTTTACTTCTCAATTTTAGCCCCTGGTACATAAAGATATAACCTGGAATACTTCAACTTCAGAATCCTGATCAATACATTCCTGTAGGCTCACATATTTCCAGCAGGGATTCATACCTAAGGATGGGGAGAATAGTGAGGCAAGTGCACATCCCTCACCAACTCCTGGGAAGAGAAGCCACAGTCTCAAAGATTAGTGACCAAGAAAGCCTGGTTGCGAGGCTGAAAAGATGGTTCAGTGTTTAAGAAAACTGGCTGCTCTGCCAGGATCCAGGTTCGATTCCCAGGCACCCATCGTGGCTCACAACTGCAGTTCCAGGGGATGTGATGCCTTCTTCTAGTCCCCACAGGCACGAGACACTTATGTGGTACGCAGACACACATGCAAGCAAAACACCCATACACATAAAGACAGAAAAAAGAAAATAACCCAACACTCGCGATGTACCCAAAGAAAACTTAATTCTCAAGGAATCTCACGCTAGAATAAGACTAAAGCCTGCGAGCCAGACTGGAAACTTGTCTCGCAGGAGAGGACAGCAGTGACCCTTATGCCTCTGGTCTGATGCTTGAGTTTAAGCCCAAGGACTTGTCTGTGGGTGGGTGGGAAGGGTGGTGTCACCGACCCCCTTTGTGACCATATCGAATAATAATCTTTTTCTGTTTTTCTATTTACTATGTTTAACTAGTCGAACCTGGCTTAACAGCTCCCCTAACAGAAAAGGCACTGGTGCTCTTTACACAAGCAATGAATGGCATGTCCTAAAGGGGAAAGAAAACCAAGAGGAATTGGAGGAACTTAACTAGTTGAGGCAAGGCGTGCCACTTCCGAACAAGGGTCGCTGAATGGCCACTACCGCCAAGATGCTACTTGCGATCTGCCAGTAAGGGCAGCTTCACTTTACCAATTTAACTCCCAATCCTTTAAAGAACTACTACAGCCTACTAATACTGACGTTAAAGCACGGATTAAGCGATTTGTTCTAGGTCAAGCCGCTAAGGGATGGACCCAGGATGAGGCAAGGCCTAACGTTAAGAATCATTATGCCCAAACTACATGCCGGAAATCTTGCTGGAAAGGACACGGGGGCGTGGAGGGTGGCGGCTAAAGAATGGAACGCGAGTGGGATGCAGCACACGTAAAGATGAGCGACTCCGAGAGCGTAAAGGCATTTGTCAAAGGAGGGCGACGGGAGCTGATAGGAGAGAAAAACCAGAGAAGGCGCTTCCAAAACGAAAAGGCGGTTGGAAGGTACGGGGGGCCGAGTCATGGCGGGACGGAGCTGGGCAACCCTGGCCAGCGTGGGGAGAGAGGGGCGGAGGAAACCACCGCCTCCCTGAACTCACTGAGCACGAGCACTGGACGGTGACCCATCATGGCGGCACTATGCGGAGCCGAGGACCCAGAGCTGGAGGAACCGGCAGAACCTTCTGGAGAGAAGAGCAGCGGAGAAAACGCTGCCTCCTCGGGACTGACACGGAAACCTGCTACCCTCTGAAGGGCCGCCAATCACTAACCTCACTTTATTGATTGGCAGGAACATAGACCAATAGCCGGTATTAGCCCCGCCCTTACGTAAGAAAGGTTAGGCAAGTTAGATGGAGAGGGCACGACGAGGGGGGGGGGCTGGGAGACGCAAGCGCCTGCGCACTAGCGTGGCCGCTCCCGGCCGCGTGCAGACGGAATGTCTGCGCAAGCGCCGAGGCTCGGCCGGTTGGCTGGCTCGCTACAGCGCTTGCGTACAACTACAAGGGCGGGTGCTGGGGTTGAGGCTTTGAATTAATGCTGCAGGTGAGGTCTTGAAACTCTTGTTTTGTCCATCAGTTCTCGTCCGACCGTGAAAGTCAAGAAAGGCACGTCAGGGCTGGAGAGATGGCTCAGCGGTTAAGAGCATTGCCTGCTCTTCCAAAGGTCCTGAGTTCAATTCCCAGCTACCACATGGTGGCTCACAACCATCTGTAATGACATCTGGTGCCCTCTTCTGGCCTGCATACATGCAGACAGAATATTGTATACCTAATAAGTAAATAAATAAATAAAGGAAGGCCCTTAAGCCTTAAAATTAAAAAAAAAAAAAAGGCACGACAGTTTTTCACTTTTTATTGCAGCTTTTGCAACCGGGAGGAATAGTGGTGCGGGGATAGCGGCCGTGGCCGGAAGGGTTGAGGAGGCAGTGGAAGTTGTTTGCTCACAGGGTGGGGCGGGTACGGCCCTTTTCTGCCCCCGAGCATGCTGGGAGTTGTGGTTTACCTTTTCTAGACTCTATTTTTTCTTTAAACAAACCAAAATCCTGTTTTTTAGATGTACTCACTTTTTTTTTTTTTTTAAATTTTGTGAGCCACATGGCATGCCTGGTGCACGAGGAGGTAAGAAGAGGAAGTCCGATCCCTTGGAACTAGAGTTTAGAATAGTTGTGATCCGCCATGTAGACGTTGGGAACTGATCCCGCGTTCTCTGCAGCATCAGCTAGTGCTCTTAACTGTTTTCCTATTTTTTTTTTTTTAAGAAAAGAGATTTATTTATTTACCTACATGGTTCTACATGCATGTATGCCTGCATGACATAAGAGGGCACCACATCTCAGTTGCTGGAAGTTGAACTCAGGACCTCTAAAACAGCCAGGGCTCTTAACCGCTGAGCCATCTCTCCAACCCCAGTTCTAAGGGTTTTTTGGGGTTTTGGGGGTTTTTGTTGTTGTTGTTGTTTTGGTTTTTCGAGACAGGGTTTCTCTGTGGCTTTGGAGCCTGTCCTGGAACTAGTTCTTGTAGACCAGGCTGGCCTCTGCCTCCCGAGTGCTGGGATTAAAGGCGTGCGCCACCTCCTCCCTGCTAAATTCTAAGTTTTTTTTACCTCTTGGGAAAATACATTTACGGCAGTAAGACATAATGAACGAGGACTACTCACCTTCCTGCAATAACCTATTTTATCTCGGGTGTATTATTCACCGCTCACCCCGACCACCAATCTTCAGACAAAGGAGAGGGAGCTAGAGTTTTTAAATTACCCTATTACCATGTGAGCTCCACAATTGCCCCGGAACTCCCCACAGAGTCCAGGCTGGCCTCAAATTGGAGGTTACCTTCTTGCCAGAGTATCCCACGTAGGAAAAAAAAGACTCTAGAAGTTAAACACTTAGAAGACACGAAGATCCATGACATGTTTGTGATGGATTTGGTATGGTCTGTCTTCTTCAGTGAAAAGACAATGAAACAAATAACCCCAAGCACTCGGGAGGCAGAGGCAGGCGGATCTCTGTGAGTTCGAGGCCAACCTTGTCTACAAGAGCTGGTTCCGGGACAGGCTCCAAAGCTACAGAGAAACCCTGTCTCGAAAAACAAATAAAAGAAAATGATCCAGTTAAGAACAATCATTTGGGCCGCACGGTGATCGCTCATGCCTTTAATCCCAGCAGCACTCAGGAGGCAGAGGCAAGCAGATCTCTGGGAGTTCGAGGCCAGCCTAGTCTATAAGAGCTAGTTCTGGGACAGGCACCAAAGCAACAGAGAAACCCTGTCTCGAAAAACAAAACAAAACAAAACAAAAACAACCATTTGCCTTGTGTGGTGGCACACTCCTCTAATGAACTCCTGAGCCTGAGTCAAGAGGAGAGCGATTTTGATGACTTGTTAGCCTGGACTACATACATCCGGGGGTGATTAAGAGGGTATACTGCTCTTGCAGAGAACCTCAGTTCAGTTCCCAGGACTGATGTCTGGCTGCTCACAGCCACCTGTAACTCCAGCTCCAGGGGGATCTACAAACATAGGCACATATACACATACACATAACTAAACCTTTTAAAAAGCAGATACCTGGAGCTAGAGAGATGGCTCAGAGGTTAAGGGCACTCACTGACTGCTCTTCCAGAGGTCCTGAGTTCAACTGGTGGCTCACAACCATCTGTAATGAGATCTGGTGCCCTCTTCTGGTCTGCAGCATATATGTAGGGAAAATGTTGTATACATAATTAATAAATAAATCTTTAAAAAAAAATAAAAAGCAGATACCTGTATTAACTATGAGACAATATACACTATCATATTTCTGCCTCCCAACATTAGAGTAGCTGTAGCCAGTTTGGATCTGCTGGGGCTGGGGCAAGCTTAGGAAACACAAGGCTTGTTTGACTGTGGTCTTCTGATTCTTTTCCAGGCACTGCACCTGTTGCTGTTGAGATGGAGCAGCAGACTAGTAATCCTACTGACCAAAAAGGTGTGTCATGGGCCCCATCCCCTTCCTCAAAAAGGTGTGTCATGGGCCCCCATCCCCTTCCTCAAAAAGGTATGTCACGGGCCCCCATCCCCTTCCTCAAAAGCCAGCCCTCTTTATTTACCAGCATTCATTGTTTTTTTAATTTTTGTTTGCTTGTTTGTTTTCAAGACAAGGTTTCTATGTGTAGCTTTGGAGCCAGTCCTGGAACTTGCTCTTGTAGACCAGGCTGGCCTTGAACTCACAGAGATCCGCCTGCCTCTGCCTCCCGAGTGCTGGGATTAAAGGCCTGCACCAACACTGCCCGGTTTACTCGACATTTGCAGAAATGACTCTGGTTTTGTGTTTGTTTGGCCCGGTAACTTAGTTATTTGGAAAGGACATGTGGGGATTTTTTGGGTGAAGGAGGAGATAGCTCTCACTTCATAGCCATAGTTGTCCTGGAATTCATCTTGTAGCCTAAGTGGCCTCAAATTTGAGACAACTCTTTTGCCAAAGCACCCCACATCCCAATACTGGGATTATAGGCATGGCCTGCTGCATCCAGCTTTTGTTGTTGTTGTTGTACACACAGGGTTTCTCGTGTGTACTCCTGGCTGTTCTGGACAAGACTCTGTAGACCAGGCTGGCCTTGAACTCACAGAGATCCACTCCGGAGTGCTGGGGTTAAAGATGTGCACTGCCACTGCCAGCATTTTTTTTTTTTAGATTCTTGCTATTATAGCCCATCCTGGCCTCCAATTTGCAATAGACCTGCCACAGGCTCCCAGCTGCTGAGATAGTAGGCATGTACTACCACGCCAGGCTTTGATATGTTCTTTTTATAGAGTTTCTCAGTAAGTAGAACACAGCTGTGCAGTCTGAAGACCCAGGTTTAATTCTGGCATTGTTATGTGACAGTTGTAGAATCCTGACTACATTTCCCAAACATGGGATTCCTCAAGTATAGTGCTGCTAATACTACCTACTTCTCCTTTTGTTTTTTTTTTTGTTTGTTTGTTTGTTTTTCGTTTTTTGGGGTTTTTCCAGACAGGGTTTCTCTGTGGTTTTGGAGCCTGTCCTGGAACTAGCTATTGTAGACCAGGCTGGTCTCGAACTCACAGAGATCCGCCTGCCTCTGCCTCCTGAGTGCTGGGATTAAAGGCCTGTGCCACCACCGCCCGGTTTACTACCTACTTCTTAGGATCATTGTAAAAGATATCTGAGGGCCTGGGGATATGGCTCAGTGGATAAAGTCCACTGGCCAGACAGTCTAGCAGAATTGATAAGCTCCAAATTTTATGAGGGTCTCTGTCTCAGAGAAATAAAATGAGGCTAGCTGTGGCGGCCAGTGAACCTTAATCCCAGCACTCAGGAAGCAGATACAGGTACATCCCTGTGACTTTGTGGCCAAGCTGCTCTACATGGTGAGTTCCAGGACAGCCAGGGCTACATAGAAAGACTCTGCTCCCACCCCTTCCCCCCAAAAAAAGGATATTGAAAAATAAAGTTGAGTGAACTGGAAACATGGCTCAACAGTGTGGGATTCCCTTTCTGTTAATCTGTGTATTGCCACGAGGCTGTGGTTTATCAGAAAGGTTCTGGGTCCTTCCCCTTTGGCAGCTACATGGCGTGTCCCTGACTACTTTCTCTGTACATCTCTGTTCGGATTTCTTGCCTGGTTTATTCTGCCCTTCCATAGGTTGAATCCCACATCAGTTAAGAGCACTGATTGCTCTTCCAGAGAACACAGGTTAAATTACCAGCACTCACATGACAGCTCACAACTGTCTATAATTCTGATTCCAGATGCCCTCACCTGGCCTCCAAGGTCACCAGGTATGCATGCAGGCAAAGTGCCCATACATAAAATTAGACAGGTGGAGAGTAACTGAGGAAGATAAGTGAGGTAGACCTCTGGCTGCCACACACAGGCACATACACAAACACACACAAAAGAAATATGCATGTATGTATATATGTGGTGCATACACATGTATTAGAGGCTGCACATGAGGACCTTATCCTATAAACCCAGCCCTCAGAAGTCTGAGAATAGCTGCAAATTCCAGGGTAGCCTGAGCTGCATTGCCCTGTCTCAAAAAAGCAATGTTTATGTGTGTGTGATATTGCATACATGAGAAGCAGAGGCAAGAGGGTGGTCACAGGTTCAAAACCTGCCTGGGACATACAGTGAGTTCCAGGTCAACCAGGATTGTATCTCCATACCCTGTGTCAGAGAGATGGTTCAGCCATTAAGAGCACTGGCATTTCTTCCAGAGGACTGAGTGCCCAACACCCACATGGCAGCTTACAGTGGTCTGTAACTCCAGTTCCAGGTGATCTGGTCCTCTCTTTCTGGCCTCCAAAGGAACCAAGCATGATGTATTACACATGCATACCTTCAGGCGAAACTCTCAGAGACATAAAAAATGATCAAAGATTTGATTCAAAAAACAAACAAACAAACAAAAAAGAGCGGCTGATAGAGCAAAGGAGACTTCCGATTTTGTAGGATTTAGACATTGCCAAGCTTGGCATGAGTATGTGAAATGGGCATTATAGGCAATTTCTTCTGTGGTACTTTCAACAATGGACAAGAATAAGACATTTTTCTTGGCAGATGTATGTCCCACACCTCTTATCCCAGCACTTGGGGAAGTGGAGGTAAGAAGGTCAGAGTACAATGAGACCCTGCCTCAAAAAGGGGGAAAGAAAAAACCATCTTTCCTAACAACACTGGACACACCCTTGTCCCCAGACTTCTTTGTTTTAACCCTGTCTGAGGTTATTCCTCAGGGCATTTCCTCCAGCTCCACGGACACACTGGAGGCACTTGCTATCTTAGACCTGTGTAAATAAATGAATTAGTTAATTTTCCTGTCCTTTCCCCATCAGTGCTGGGGATCAAACCCAGGGTCTTACCCAGGTTAGGCAAATGCTCTACAATTGCGCTAAACCGCCAGCCCTATCCTTTCTTGATCTTTTAAAATTATACGCATATTTGTTCAAAGGTACATTCCAAAGCTCGTAAGTGCATGCCACTGTGTGTATATGCATGTCAGAGGCCAATTGGCCAAAGTTGGTTCTCTCCTTCTACAATGTGAGTTCTGGGGATTGAACTCAAATTCTCAGGCTTGGTTCCCATTGCTTTTACCCCAGAGCCATCTTGCCATTCCCTTCTCTTTTCTTTTTTATAGAGGGTCTTGCTCAGTAGTAGGTTGGCTTTGGCAGCCCCATTGTTAAACATGCTACTGCGGTTACTTCCTCCTCCGTCTGTCCACAGTCTCATAGACTTGAACTCAGTGTGTAGCCGAGGATTCTAGAACTCCTGATCCTCCTGCTTCCACCACTTTACCTATTTTATGTGATCCTGGGGATCGAACAGTGGACTGAGCTCCACCTTGGCCCACACCTCCCAAGGTCTCTGCTGGGCCCGGCTTTGCTGCTCGCCATTGCCATTCACTGCTGTTCTCTATACTCTGCCGCTCTGTTTTATCCTTCAGACACTTAAGGAACTTTCTTTCTTTCTTTCTTTTTTTTTTTTTTTTTGCTAAAGGGAGCTAACTTTCTTTTTTCTTTTCTTTTCTTTCTTTTTGATGGGGAGGAAGGGTGTTTCAAGACAGGGTTTCTCTGTGTAGCCTGGTTGTCCTGGAAGTTACTCTGTTGACCAGACTGGCCTCGAACTCTCAAACTCAGAGAACCACCTGCTTCTGCCTCTGGAGTGCTGGGATTAAAGGCGTGTGCCACCACCACTGGCTCTTATTTCTGTAGCTTCTTTATTCCCTTTTAGTGGCTAACTAGCAATTTGACCTTTTGCCCAAACTTAGTGCCTGCCACCCCTTGTTCTTATAGGCATTTCTGTTTCATTTCCTACTTTCACCTTGAAACCTTTGTGATTATTATTAGATGATTAGATTATAATTAGATATAATCAAACTGCCTCGAGTACAAAAGGTAATTTAGGGATTTGTGCAGTTTCAGGTGCTCAAGAACTTCAGAAGCCAGCTATCTGGGACTGGAAACATCTGTTCTTCCTTCTGTCATTGTCCTTCCTTGTAGGGATAAGTCCCACCCCTTAGGGGGCGTGTTCGCCTCAGGCTAAAGTTTGCCTATAAATTTGGCGAGCATGCTCCCAGCCCTCGCTTCTGCTTTCCTGGTCTCCACGGGAATGGTGGTTCTGTAAGTGTATTCCTCCATTAAAGCTGTCTATATTTTGACAATCTGTCTGCATTTGCTTACGCCGTTACATTTTGGTGCCCAACGTGGGGCTATTTTGCCCCCGACTCAAGCGCATAGCCTGCTAGCTAACACAGCATGCTACTGGGTGTCATTTTCTTAGTTCGTGACTCAGGCCCCAGGCCCATAATATCCATAATATTGTATACATAATAAATAAATAAAAATATAAAAAAAGAAGACATTTGATTTAAAAAATAATAAAAAAAAAAGAAAAAATCAGGTAAATGGAGAATGGTGAAAGATCTCAGGGCCATAACAAGGTTTTTCAACCTATGGGCCCTCTACAATCTGGAATTCCTTTGCCCTCTTTATTACCAAAAGGATGGCCTCTCATAGTTATTGATTTAAAGGATTGTTTTTTCACTATGCCTTTACAAAAAAAAGATAGAGAAAAATTTGCCTTCACAGTGCCTACTTATAACAATTCTCAACCTTCGAGGAGGTACCACTGGGCCGTCCTCCCCCAGGGTATGTTAAATAGTCCCTCCTTGTGCCAATATTTTGTGAATCAACCATTACAAATTATCCGCAAGAAATTTCCCAAATCGATAATATATAACTACATGGACGACATTTTGTTATCCGATTCAAACATGGATACCTTGAACAGACTATTTGAAAAAAATAAAGATACTTTTACCTAAATGGGGATTGCAAATTGCTCCTGAGAAGATACAGAAGGGAGATTCTGTTAATTATTTAGGTTATAAAATAGGTTTACAAAAAATTAAGACACAAAAGGCACAAATTAGGAGAGATCGCCTATGGACCCTTAATGACTTTCAAAGACTGTTAGGAGACATTTCCAGTCTATGACCAGCTATTGGGATAACACCTGATCTAATAATTCATTTGAACAAAACCTTGGATGGTGATAAAGATTTAAACAGTCCCAGAGAATTAACAGCTGAAGCAGAAAAGGAACTGACAATGATTGAGGAAAAATTACAACAGGCACATGTGGACAGGGTGAATCCAGAGCTCGATTGTATTCTCGTCATACTACCATCAAAAATTTCTCCTACAGGAATTTTAATGCAGAGAGATGAATGACATTATCTTGGAATGGATCTTTTTACCACATAAACCAAGTAAAAAACTGAAAACTTATGTGGAAAAAGTCGCCGAGTTAATTATAAAAGGAAAGCTGAGACTTCGTCAATTAGCAGGCATAGACCCAGCAGAAATTATAGTGCCTTTCACTGCTGATGAACTAAAGAAATTATGGGAAGATAATGAACCATGGCAAAGAGCTTGTGCTAGTTTTTTGGGAGATATTAATAACAATTATCCAAAAAGCAAGAGGCTTAACTTCATAAAGAGAACTTCATGGATCCTTCCTCGAATCGTCCGTGATGCTCCAATAACTGGAGCCCGTACATTCTATACTGATGCCAATAAAACAGGGAAGGCAGGTTACAAATCGGAAGACTTGGGTAAGGTGGAACAAAGTCCTTATGATTCTGTCCAGAAGGCAGAATTATATGCCATTCTTATGGTGCTAAGGGATTTTAGAGAACCTATTAATATAGTTACTGATTCGCAATACGCAGAAAGAGTTATTTTACATATTGAAACTGCTGAATTTATACCTGATGATACAGAACTAACCTCATTGTTTATCCAGGTTCAAGATTTGATCAGGAACAGGCTCTGCCCTATGTACATAACACACATCCGATCCCATACGGGTCTGCCAGGTCCTCTAGCACAAGGTAATGCAGAAATTGATCAATTATTGATTGGTAGTGTGCTACAAGCCTCTAAACTTCATAAAAAAACATCATGTTAATAACAAAGGTTTGAAGAAAGAGTTTTCTATCACATGGCAACAAGCTAAGGAGATTGTAAAGAAATGCCCTACTTGCTCTTTCTATAACCAAACGCCACTGCCTGCAGGGGCTAATCCAAAAGGGCACCCAAAGGAATAAAATCTGGCAGATGGATGTGTTCCACTTTACAGAATTTGACAAATTAAAATATGTTCATCACACCATTGACACTTATTCAGGCTTTCAGTGGGCAACCGCTTTAAGTTCAGAAAAAGCTGATTCAGTAATCACTCATTTATTAAAAGTCATGGCTATCATGGGTATATCTACACAAATCAAGACGGATAATGGTCCTGCTTATGTCTCTAGGAAAATGAAACGGTTTTTTGATTATTACAATATCAAACATGTCACAGGTATACCATACAATCCTACAGGTCAAGTAGTCATAGAAAGATCAAATCAAACTATAAAGGATATGTTGAACAAACAGAAAGGGGTGGAAAACACCCCCAGAAATAGGTTACATAATGCTTTGTTAACCTTGAATTTTCTCAACGCTAATGAGAAGGGACCAACGGCTACAGAAAGACATTGGATAATGAAAAAGTCTACTAAACTAAATCAACCAGTTTATTTCAAAGATGTGCTGACGTCACAATGGAAGCCAGGAGATGTGCTGCGTTGGGGAAGGGGTTTTGCTCTTATCTCCACATGTGAGAAAAAATTGTGGATACCGTCAAAATTATTCACAAGGACCGCGAGCATACTGATGGTAAGGAATACAGATATGTTGGGGGCAGGGTTCTTTTCTTATCTCCACAGGAAAATACTCATCTTAAAAGAAATTAAGGGACCCTAAATATTTAATTACTGATGGATGGACACATTTTGTAAGTATTAATTTATATATATATATGTCTTATTAAACATTTCTTTATAAATATGTAGAGCTGGTTTTGAAGTTGGACTCTGGCTCAGTCCCTCTCCAATTCCAAGCCTGTTAGTAAGAGAAAAACCCAGAGTTTCTGGAGTTTCTGTCTCATGTCAAGAGCCATGATATGGGACAGAAAGAAATATGAGTTAGAAAACATCTTTGCTTTTCTTTATTTCTATCATACTTTTCACTGAATATATCTATCATGCCTTTCATTGAGTATATATATGTATGTCTATATATGTCTATATGATTAATGTTTAAGTTTTTCACAATGAACAAGGAG